CGGGTCTGACAGCTGCGAGGCCACGCAGGCAAGAGGGAAGCACGGTGTGCGGAGTGCGCCTGACGCTCAGCCTCGGTGGCTGTCCTGTTGTCCCAGCAAGGTATTCCAGCCAGGGCGTGGCAAGAGGAGGGGTCGTCCGGGGATTTGGGTTCTTTTTGCCTCCTCGGTGAGAGGGTAGCTGCTGGGGCCAGGAGGCACCGAAGGATGTTTGCCTCCTGGGGACTGAAGGAGGAAAGTTTTCTTAAATGCGCCACGGCCCCATTCTTCCCCGCTGAGTAGACAGAGGGAGAAGAGTAAATTCTTGAAACCGTTTCCTGATAGAGTCACAACTTCTCCTCACTCCACTCCCACTTTCTCCCTCTGAGCCAGGAGAATAAGAAGCGTCCCCAGTCCTCGGGAAGTCTGAGCTTGGAAAGTTAACCTGGTCCCTAAAGCACTGTCTGAACAAATCGGCATTCTCGTCTCAGTCTATCTCTCGGTGTAGGATTCCGATTTGAGACGGTTTCTCAAATTCGCTTTAAAGAGGATTGACTTGACTACCACAGGGCTGAAATCCTGTTGTGCCAGTGAAGTGTGAGCAACGACCCCTTTGAAAACATTGTGTGTGTCACCTGCCAGTGCCAACATCACCCCTGCAGGGGCTGAATGTTGAATAATAGGTGTGGGACTTCTCTAAGGATCGTGTTGGAAATGGCTAATGTAACCCATTAATCCCATTTTTCTTTACCTCTTCACACTCTCTCCTGTTCCCCTACGTCCAAGGCAAGTGGTGATGGTTTCCCAGCTAATCATCACCCACATGCTGCCCTACCCCACCTCCCCCCGGGACCCTGAGGTCTCACATATTCAAATGTGCTTGATTCTGGGCTCCAGTGGACATCCATAGGCAGACTTTAGTGTGTGTAGGTGGGAGCAGTGCTCTGAAGCAGAAGAGCCAACCTGGCTTCATCATCAACTGGCTGTTAGTGAAGGAAGGGGCCATGTTCTCTTTCTGAGCTTTCTGTAAAATGGGATAATCCTCCTCCTCAGCAGGTGTGTTGTGAGGATCAAACAGGATCATGTAAGCAAAAATCTGAAAACAATGCTATTTCAATCTCAAGTATTCTGTTAGGCTACTTTGTGTTTGTGAGTGGGTGGTGTTGGGGGTTAGGCAAAATGAACAGGAGAGGGAGGTATATCTCCCTGAGCAGAGGCTCCCAGCCTGTGGCTAACAGGTTTGTTGCTAAAGGACTCTCTCTCCTAGGAATCCAAGGTGGAGTCAGAGGTAAAAAAGGAATGCTAGGGATATTTTGAAAAGTGGTCAAGTATTTTGCAGTTTGAATCCATTTAGAGAATGTGGCCAGAGGAAAAAGAACCAGAGGACTGACCGTACAATGTTAGAGTTGTTTATTATCTTAGACATCCCTTTGTGTGCTCCTCCCCAAACATTTTATGGATTAGGAAGGTGAGATCCAGGCAGGACATATAGCACAAGTAGTAAGTGGTTTTCTGTTCATCTTCTACTGTGCAGCAGAAAAAACAATTACTACTAAAAGTTGGGTTGGGCACAGTGTCTCATGCCTATAATCCCAGCACTTTGAAAAGCTGAGGCGAGAGGATTGCTTGAGACCAGGGATTCAAGACCAGCCTGGTCAACTTGGCAAGACTTTGTCTCTACAATACATCAAAAAATTAAGGCCGGCCACAGTGGCTCAAACTTATAATCCCAGCACTTTGGGAGGCTGAGGCAAGATGATTGCCTAAACTCAGGGATTCGAGACCAGCCTGGGCAACTTGATGAGACTTTGTCTCTAAGATAAATAAAAAAATAAGCTGGGCATGGTAGCTCATGCCTGTAGTTCCAGCTACATGGAAGACTGAGGCAGAAGGATCACCTGAGCCCAGTAGATCTAGGCTGCGGTGGCTATCAGTGTGCCACCACACTCCAGCCTGGGCAACAGAGTGAGACTCCAACTCAAAAAAAAAAACAAAAACGTTAGCTGGGCATGGTGGCATGCCGGTAGATCCAACTACTTGGAAGGCTGAGGTGGAAGGACTGCCTGAGCTGAACAGGTAGAGGCTGTAGTGGCTGTGAGCTGCCATTGCACTCCTGCCTGGGCAATAGAGTGAGACTCTGACGAAAAACAAAACAAAAACACCACTACTAAAAGTCCGGGATATGAGTTATTGGATGTGAACCCAACTTTGGGCAATTCGCCCTCTGTGCCTGTTTCCTCAGTTATAAAACTGAGTCCATAGTAATACCTGCCTCATGAAGTTGTGAGATTGAATTAGGCAACATTCAAGCTTTTGTTTATCACAATGTCTGGCATAGTCAGTACTCAATAAATGTTATTCCTATTTCTATCCTCTGGGCTTCATTTTCCTTAGCTATAAATTGAAAATGTTAGATCGCCAGGCTTGGTGGCTCAGCCTGTAATCCCGCGCATTGGGAGGCTGAAGTGAGTGGATTGCCTGAGCCCGCGGGTTCGAGACCCGCCT